CCCAAATTCACAAACTAATATCTAGACAACACAGAATAGTATCCATACAACACATAATTAGTATCCAGATAACACATAAGAGTATCCAGATAACACATAATAGTATCCATATTGAATACTAGTTGGTTGATTGTGGATATTAGTTGGTATCTGCTATCTGGATACTAGTTTGTGATGTTTAGAATACTAGTCTGTACTATCTAGATACTCAGCAGACTTGGATACTAGTTCATACATTTTGGATATTAATTAGTATATACTAACGAATTTTCAAGTTAGCAGAATAACTATGCTGAAGAAAGAGAGGAAGGAAGCAAAAAACAGCACGGGGGCGCCTTAAAGGTAGAAAAGGAAGCGCAGCCCCACCACCGCCAACACCGGGCGCGAAATCTTCGGCCCCTCGCCGGCCTTACGGGCGCCATTGCCATTGTCATTGCATTCCAACTTCCGAGCAAGTTCCATTCAACGCGTTGACGTAGAAAAAAGATCCCAGGGGCCAGAGAGAAGAATTCAAACATTCAAGACGACATCAAATGGCGAATTCTTTTCTTTTTAAGGAATAAATTTTAAATTAAGAAGAAGAAAAATCCCGCAGACCATGTCTTCTTTCCCCTGCAGGCCATTTCTCCTCTCAAGTCTCTCTCCCTCTCTCGCGTTTACCAGAAGTGGCAGGACGGCCGATTCGCCCGCAGTCTGTTTCTTCTGGCCTTTCAGCCATTTCTGTTCATAGAATTTCAACTGTGAGTTGTTGAGAAGTCTTTCTTATCGCAGCCTCTTCCCATTCAATACAATTTTCTGTCTTTTGACTTTCCTCCTCTTCATCAGGCTTCTCGTTTTCGCTACCTACACTCCAGCATTTTGCAGCTTGACTGGTCAGGGGTCGCCAAGTTCCTTAATTTATTTGGCTCTGGCCCAACTTTGATACTCTTGCTTTCTGGGTTGGTAGGATTAGCCGTCTTGGTATCTGGGTTTTCCAAGAGAATCGCAAATTGGTGGTTCATCTTCTGCAAATTGCGTTCTGAAGCTTCACCGTCGTGAGTGACGTTGTACAAGTTCATGGAATACCTCAAGTTAAGTGTTTTGCTTCTTTGTGGTAACATGAGCAAGTAGTAGAATTGTTCTTCCTTTTTGTCCTGGTAAAGCTTAGAATCTCAAGTTAAAAATCTATATACAAAATGGTGCCTGGGATTTTGAGGAAGGTTCTGCCTGTTGCAACTACTATTCCTAAACCTAATGATGATGATGATGATGATGAAGATGAGTATGCCAACAAGGTTGAATACTCTTTTGCTGTTGAGTACTCTGGTCCCCCTCTTCCATACGACATCCCTCGAGTTGTGCCAGTGGACGTCGATGAAATCCCACTGGCTTCAACACTTGCTTCAGCGTCTCGATTAAGTGTCGTGCCTATCATCCAGCCTATTGTCAAGTCTACTGTTCCTAACAAGAAGCTCCACAAGGAGCTACAGGAAGGAGAATCTGCTGCCAGGCCTCAACTATTCAGTACAGCAGACAATTCCAACGATCATTCTGACTCTTCTCAAGTATTAGCTGGGAGCTCAGAGATTGTGGAAATACCAGACGAAGAAGACGAGGATGAACCAGCTGGGGAGTTGCAAGATTATGCGAACCCTGGAGATGGGGAGTCAACAAAATCACACTCATTTTCATGTTCAGTTTCATCCGAAATATTTTCTGGTAATGAAGACGAGTGTGCCGATGAAGAAGCTACTCCTCACCACGTAAGGAGGCCATCTGCAGTAACATTCCGTGATCCTGACTCGAACGATGTGGTCGAAGATGAAGATTTCGACGATGCATCTGATGCTGAAAGCAGCATCCCGGAAAGGCCAACTCCTGCTGTAAGGCCTGGAAAGAAAGGAACGTGTTACCGTTGCATGAAAGGGAATAGGTTTACTGAGAAGGAGGTTTGCATAGTATGTGGTGCAAAGTTTTGTTCTGGTTGTGTGCTGAGAGCAATGGGGTCAATGCCAGAAGGTAGGAAATGTGTGACTTGCATTGGTCAAAGGATCGACGAGGTTAGACGAAAGAATCTGGGGAGGAGTTCTAGAATGCTGAGACAGCTATTGCCGAAGATGGAAATCAAGCATATAATGACTTCTGAAAAAAGTTGTCATGTGAATCAATTGCCGCCAGAGCTTGTGTGTATCAATGATCAGTATCTTTCTGAAGAGGAGCTGGTGTTGTTGCAGACCAGTGCTCACCCTCCAAGGAAGCTGAAACCAGGTTACTATTGGTACGATAAAGTGTCTGGTTTCTGGGGGAATGAAGGAGAGAAGCCTTCCCAGATAATCAGTGACCAGTTGAACATTGGTGGTCACCTGAGGCGGGATGCTAGCAAGGGAGACACCGGCATACTCATAAATAATCGTGAAATTACGAAACCGGAGCTAATCATGCTGCAGGTTTATGCTCAAAACGATCTTATATAATCTGTGTATTATCGATTCTTTGAAAGCATGTCGTTTCAATCAATGCCCTTTTCTGTTGAATGTGCACAGTTGCTAGGTGTGAAATGTGATGGAACAAATAGCTTTTGGGTAAGTGCAGATGGTTCATATCAGGAAGAGGGCATGAAAAATGTGAAAGGAAGAATATGGGAGAAGGTTTGTTGCCTATAGTTCTGTTTCTTTTTGAAGTTTTCACCTTCATTGTAGAAAAGTCTATTTGATCATTGAAACATTCTTCTTTGCAGCCCGGGGCAAAGGTAATCTGTACTTTTTTGTCCTTGCCAACGCCTCCTGATTCCAATGGCTCTGTGCGAAAAGAGCCAAATGGTGCTACCGCTCTACCCAATGGCCTTCAGCAGAAGTTGTTACAGAAGCTGCTTCTAGTCGGCAACAAAAAGTCTGGAACGAGCACTATTTTCAAACAGGTATGAAGTGATGCATGGAAAAACTGTCATGATTTATTCATAAAACAAATAACCGTCTCACAATTAAGCTGCTAGAAACTGTATTTTTGAAATGGTTTGATTCTGGGTTTCAGGCGAAAATCATCTACAATGTTCCTTTCTCTGAAGATGAGAGGGAAAGTATCAAGTCTATAATCCAAAGTAATTTGTATAGATATATTGGTGTACTTCTGGAGGGACGTGAACGTTTTGAAGAAGAATGTTTGGCCCAAATGAGAGAACACCCCATTGGTGAAAGCAGTTCTTCTGGTAGAGTGAACCTTCTTTCTCCCCTGCAAGTTTCTTCCTCTTTTCGAGATTAAGATGAATTAGTATCTCGAGTAGATTCTAAAGCAAGTATAGGTACATTGTTCTGATATTGCAGGTCAGACCGACACTAAAACCATCTACTCAATTGGTCAGAGACTGAAATCGTTCTCAGATTGGCTTCTCAAAGTAATGATTACTGGCAACTTGGAAACCATATTCCCAGCATCCACTCGTGAATATGGACCTTTTGTTGAGGAACTGTGGAAAGATGCTGCCATTCAAGCCACATATAATAGAAGGGATGAACTTCCATCTCTTCCAAGAAATGCAACTTATTTCCTAGAACGAGTAAGAACAAGCTTTAAACTTTTGTTCCTGTAATTCCACAATTACCTCAATAGCATGTGGCAGAAAAAAGTAGTTAATTCTTTTTCCTAAAGAATCTAATTGGCATGTTGCTACTGATCAGGCTGCTGATATTGCAATGGTGGATTATGAGCCATCAGACATGGACATATTGTATGCCGAGGGGATAACTTCATCAAGAGGGCTATCGTCCATGGAGTTTACATTCCCCAAGTCAACTCGAGATCTTTGTGACCACATTGGTTATCAGCATGATCCATCACAGAGGTTAGCCCCTTCCACCACCTAACCCAACTCGAACTAATTTGAAATTCATCTAACCATATATATTACCGTTGCAGGTACCAGCTCATCAGAGCTCATCCAAGAGCCCTAGGAGGAAACTGCAAATGGCTGCAAATGTTTGAAGATGTCGACATGGTACTATTCTGTGTTTCCTTGACCGATTATGATAAGTTCACTGAAAACAGCGATGGAGTCCTCACCAACAACATGATGGCCACCAAGCAGCTATTTGAAACCATGGTAACTCATCCAAAATTTGAAGACAAGAAGTTCCTTCTCGTGTTGAACAAGTTCGACCTGCTCGAGGAAAAAATCGAGCATGTCCCTCTCACTCGATGTGAATGGTTCAAAGACTGGGACCCGGTAATTGGAACCAATCCAGCTAACAGCAGAAGCAGAGTTACTAACCCTTCATTGGCTCACCGTGCTTTCCAGTACATTGCAATGGAATTCAAGAGATTCTACGCTTCCCTCACTGATAAGAAGCTCTATGTTTCCGTGACCACTGGGTTGGAGGCCGATAATGTGGATGAAGCTTTTCGGTATGCAAGGGAGATTATGAAGTGGGAGGAAGAAACTTTTGACTTGAACAATAATAATGAGACGTCTTCCACGAGCATGGAAGCAAGCTCATCTGCATGATAGAGGTAGAGATCGATCTCAAGAACAGAAGGGCCTCAAGAGAGAGCTTTAGTTTGAAAGAGTTTATCTGTGCTGTGAATGTTATACACTGTGATTGCCCCACTCTATTTGTATATAGTCGAGGAGTTGTGAGTGATTATACAGAGAGAAGTAGAACTTTGTAACGAGAAGTTATAGTCCATACAGAAATAAGATAAGAGTCCTCTAGCTTATGATCAACATTATAGAGTCTTCTTCAGGATGTTTAGACAGTCGACCGCATCTTCTCCAACTGCAGGTTTCTTCCCCAATTCCGAGTTTTTTTCATTAAAATCTTGCTTCTTGTTGAGTTTTAGGTTAAGGTTGAAGAAATTTCTTCTGCAAGCTGTTTCTGGAACATTTTAGTTGAACATTTTACTATACAATCCTTAATTATACATCTGATATAGCTAAGGCTGCAGCATAAGAAGAAAGAAAACGAAAGCTACACATTGAAGGAAAACTTGTAGAGGAGAATGGAAAGCGGCGATGCAGGGTGGCTTGGTCACCAGGGCACAAAGCGGTCCATGATCAAGCGAACAGTATCCTCGGACATCGTACTGCAGATGTCCGACTCAGACCGATGAACCATCACCACGTTCGAGCCTTTTTTCATCACCTGCTTCTCTGTTCCTTGATCTGCTGCAGCATCGTCTTGTCCAGATGATGATGACAACTTGTTGTTCTTGGGGCGAACCACCTTTGCCTTGAGCTTGGCTAGCTCGTTCACCCATGTCTCCACTACTGTTGCTGCCATTTTCACTTTGGTTGTGTGAGTCGATTTGTGCGGGGTGTGAATTAATAGTATGAAGAGGAATGGAAGAGAAGGCAAGCAATGGGAAGGAAAGAGGGTTAAATAGAGGGAAATCCAAGGTGCAGGGGGTTTTTCTTTTCCGTATAAAACAAAGGAAAACAAGTGAGGGAAGAGAAAAGGTCGCAATCTGGAATGTGACCCATAGATTAGATTGGATCTGGATGGACACCACTCCTCTCCTGGGGTGGGTTAACCACTGGAATATCTTCGGCCCACGTCTTTGGATGCTGCTGGTTGGGAAGAGGGGTATCTTCCTGAATGAATATAATAATAATAATAATAATAATATTAATATGCTCTTTTTCATCCATCGTTTTAACGACGTGGGTAGCGTGGTCAAAGGTTAACGGAACGGAAACAAGGTTGAAGGTACGCATCACGTTTTGGAGGAGACGATGTTCAGGAAACGAGTAAAACTGTGGCTGTCCCAGCACCGGCGTCTGCATGTGGCCAATCTGTGAGCCGACCTGCCTACATTATTCAAATGCTCGACAGCTTGGAAATGTTAACTGTACAATATCATAAGCAGCCAATAACATAACATCTAAGACAGTTTGGCCGAGTGGTCTAAGGCGCCAGATTTAGGCTCTGGTCCGAAAGGGCGTGGGTTCAAATCCCACAGCTGTCAATTTTGTTTTTCCTTTCCGTACACGAGGCTTTGTATGGTTGAATTTGAGTTAATTAAATCAAGTGTCGAAGCATCCAAAAACATCAGGATTAATGACACAAATATTGTTTTTTTTTTTAATTTACCACCAATATGGCGGATTAAGAAGTATTGACATAGATATTGTGTTTTGGAGACAACAAATGGCGGCAACACCTGGGACTCAGGCGCCGCCGCTATGGATGATATTTTGGAATAAGTTTCGGCGGCGGCGCCGAAGACTCAGGCGGCACCGCCGGTGACTCCAGCGTGTTCGGTGGGAACCTGTCCCAGGTGGCGGCGCCCGAGACTAGAGTGGCGGCGCCTGAGTCATCAGCGAGTTAGGTGGCCTTCCCCCTATATAAACCCAGCCAATTTCTTTTCAGTTTCACACCACAAAAAAATCGTTAAAAACAAAGGAGCTTTGGAGCTCTGGTTGCTGCTGCAAAAATGGCTAATAGGTAAGAGACGCATTTATTTTTGTAATTATATTATTCAAATGTTATTATGATTGTGTTTAGTTTTAATTAGTGAGTCTGTTTTTTTGTAGTGATTTTAGAAGATTTGAACTAGTCGTTCGATGGAAATCGGAGAAAGTAGAAGATAATTTGGGCGTCAAATTCGTTGGTGGTAGTAGTTTTCAGATGACGATTCCATCCAGGGTCACATATCATTATCTTTGTGAGAATCTAATTCCGAGAATACGGCGTAGAGACGAATCAGTACAAGATAGTGATGTGATCACAAGTTTCATTTACCGTCTTCCAGAATGGCAGAATGGTGTTTTATTTCATTATGCAATGCCTATTGTGGATGATGATAGCTTGAATGTGCTTTGGAATTTTATGGCACAAAATCCTTATTGTTTGGGTGCTGAGATACATGTTGAGCTCAGTGACGATCAGGGTGGAGAGGTAGAAGATGATACATGGAGCGTGCCATCCGATCATGCTTATGATGACGGTGATGACGGAGAGGAGGAAGATGAGGAGGAGGAGGAGGAGGAGGAGGAGGAAGAGGGGGAAGAAGTTCCTAATTATCCTCCATATTTTTACTTGTAGGGTAATGAAGAGGACGAAGAATACTCACTTGTTGATTCATATGGCGTAATTCCAATGCATGTTGTTGATAGTTTTGAAGGAGAATTCTACAAGGGGCAGATATTTCACTCGAAACAAGCTGCACAGATGGCGATTAAACACCACGCACTACAACGCAACTTTCAATATGGCGTGGTGGAGTCGTCACCTTCAATCTGGAAGGTCAGATGCTTGAGGCACAAGGATGACAATTGTCCTTGGATGGTGCGGTTTGGATGTCGAGATGCTGGAGGCGAATGGACTGTGAGAAAGGCTGAGTTGGTGCATTCTTGTAGCAGCACGACTCAACCGACGGATCATCGCCATCTTGATGTCGACATGATATCTGAGGCCGTCAAACATTTGGTACGTGCCCAACCAAATCTGAGTGTTCTAGCTGTGCAAGCTGAGTTGAAAGATAAGTTTAATATGCAAGTTACTTACAAGAAGGCTTGGTATGGGAAACAAAGAGCATTGGAGAAGTTGCATGGAAATTGGGAAGAATCCTACGATTTTTTGCAGACATTCTTGCGGGTAGTCAAGAGAAAAATGCCAACATCGGTGATTGATTGGGTAAGAGTTCCTTCGACTCAACCAGGTCATTTGATATTTCAGCGAGTATTCTGGGCTTATGGACCTTGTATAGATGGATTCAAGAATTGTCCGGGCGTCATGGTTGTTGATGGAACATTTCTTACTGGGAAGTATAAAGGAGTGATACTCATGGCGAGCTCATTTGATGGTCGGAAGAAAATTTTTCCAATTGCATTTGCCATAGTGGAGAGCGAGAATACTGAGAGTTGGCCATGGTTCATAAGGAACGTTCAGGGTTTGACTGATCGAAATGATGTATGCATCATCTCAGATAGACATGCAGGACTCTATGAAGCCATGAATAACATCGGAAGAGGTTGGGAGTGGAGGTGGTGCATGCGACACTATGCAAGCAATTTGCAAAGGAAGACTAAAAGCAGAATTATGTATAAGCAACTATTTCGAGTCGGTAAGCCTTCTTCATTTAATTATGTTATTTATTTTCATGTAATTTTGTCATGAATTTATCTAACCCGTGTGGTTGTTTATTTTGTTAGCTGGAGAAAAACGGTTGGAGAAGTTCGATCGTCAAGTTGAGCAATTTAAGAAGGTGGCCAGTGATAGAAATATTTCATGTGATAACTGGGTGGATCAACATCAGATTCGTTGGAGTTTAGCACATGATAACTACAACGGTGGGCGTCGTTGGTCTATGCTGACATCCAACATGGCAGAAAGCATCAATGGTGTTTTCAAAGGTATTCGTGCACTTCCTATAGCTTCTCTTGTGCAACATACCTATTGGCGATTGGTGGAGAAATTCGATAAGTACAGGTTGGAGACAGGAGCAGAAATTAGAAGTGGTCCTTCACAGTACTCCACCAAGTGCGAAGAGCTGATGAAGTACAGGTCACAAAAGGCAGTTGGACATTCTGTGACAGCTCTTGATCGGAGTCAAGGCATCTATGTAGTTAAGACTCCCCCCAACAATTTCAACATGACGGGGTCAAACACACTCACAGTGCACTTTGACGACCAAAACCGGGAGGGATTTTGCACCTGTGGTAAATTTCAAGGAAATAAAATTCCTTGCTCTCATGCTATTGCAGTTTGCAACCGACTTGGGGCTAATGCGTATGGGTTTGTAAACAATGTCTACAAGCTGGAAACAGTGATGGCTTGTTATGGGACAAGTTTCGCACCTCTTGGTGAACCTAAGGGTTGGAAGAAGCATAATGGTCCTACTCTCCATCCTAATGTGCACATGCTTAGGAAGCCGGGGAGGCCACGGGTTACAAGGATTCACAACGAGATGGATTGGCCAAGGGAGGGTGCATCACACCAAGTGTGTAGCAACTGTAACCAAGCGGGACATAATGCATCAACCTGCGGTGGTCAAGCTAGTGGGAGTGGGAGAAACCGAAGAGGGAGAGGTGGTCGAAGAGGAAGTAGAGGTAATAGACGTGGCTGAGAAGTTTGTTCAAATGTAGTAGTTGTTGTATTTCCTTCGAATAATCATGTAGAAGTTGTTGTAGTTTGGTATGAAGTTGTTGTAGTTTGGTATGTAGTTGTTGTATTTCCTTCGAATAATCATGTAGAAGTTGTTGTTTGAAGTTGTTGTAGTAATGGTTTTTATCGTTAATAAAATAATAACATAATCCTATATAGTCCAAACATAATAGAAACTACATAATAATCCAAACATAATAGTCCACACATAATAGTGTAATAAAGGAAGTACATAATAACAATCCAAAAATAAACAAACTACATAATAGTCTCACTGTGGACCACCACCACGACCACCACGACGACCACCACGACGACCACCATGCTCCACCACTAGATGGCCGCCAGTACCACACCTCGCAGCCACCCTGTTACGCATAGGTCGACCAGCATACGCCTGGGAATGATCCTCCTCCTCACCACCATCCTGATCCTGTGTACCGAACAGATCATCCTGCTGAGACTGAAGATGCTCCTCAGGCGCACCGCCACCATGCTGCTGAGACTGCAGATTCTGCTCATAGTTCCACATCGTCTCCTGGAAAACCTGATCACCCTCTAGGCTGTCCCACAGGTTGGGAGTCGAGGCTGCTCTAGTATCACCACCTGAAGCCATGTTTCCGCCTCCCATCGTAGTATGCTGCGGTGTATGGAAGCTATCCTCTGCCTGATAGAAGCTCGAAGATGCATCTGTCTGAAACTGCTGTCGTCGCGGTGGCTGAAAGCTCGAACTCGGATCTGACTGAAACTGCTGGCGTCGCGGCGGCTGAAAGCTCGAAGACGGATCTGACTGAAACTGCGACCGAAGCGGATTAAACTGGAAGCTCCTCGTAGTAGGCCGGATGGGCTGTGCTCGCTGTCGCTGTCTACGTGGCTTACGCTCCTGTCTGAACTGTGGCTCTGGGGCGACCCAGTCCGGTGTCGGATCAGTACGCTCTGGCCAGGCAGTCATGACAGGCTCCGCATAATGGGGCTGTACAGGTACTGTGAGATCAGGGTATCTACGCTGCTCAAACCCTAGAGTAGCAACCCCGGATGCCATAAAGTTGGCCAAGTCCTCACACTGGTCAGGGGTCAGTCCTCCAGCCCTCCCACCATCACGCAAACTCACCTCAGCATGCTCGATAGTGTCGTACTAAAAAACACCAACAAAATGTCAGATATTTCACACAGTTAACAACAAATTAAGCAAACAAATCAAATAACTAACCAGTGCCTCCGCTACAGCTCCTCTCCGTGTGCCGGAACGTCTGGTGACATCTCTATACCACTCCATATGCTCCGAGTGGTAGACTAACTCATCATCAGTGTATGAAGATGTCGCTACAAACTCGTGTCGACGGTTCCAGAAATCAAGCGACTCTCTGGAGGCGTGTACCAACTGCTGCCCACGCGATGACCCACGAGTAGCCTGGCGAAGGAAAAACCTAACCTCAGCCTCAGGATGTGGCTGATGAGGCTCATGCTGCCTCATGCCAAACTGCCGGAGCACGCGGTCTGGATGATGCCACATCACCGATGAAAAGCAGATAAGTGGCACTACTGCTCGAAATGTATCAGACTGTATCACACTACCTCTGAGATGAAGTGCTCTCTCACGGTAAGGTTGCCACTACATAGCAAAAATTTAACGTTATTATCCCTAAATCTAAAAAAATAAAACAAATGAAAACTATTCTATAAAATGGAATGTTATATACTAACCACCACGGTGTCCATCACGTCAAACCACAGCTTGTACTGGAATAGCTGGTCACCATACTGACGACTGCTGGCCGAAAGCCATCGAAGACCACGTGGATGTGCATCCTCGGTGGCCGGTGCCCTCGTCTCTGAATCTCGAGGTGCCAGATGTGGGAATCGCTCCCACACCCAGAACTGCAGTAGGGCGACCCATCCACCAAGGTCACCGGCTAGAGAAGTGCCGGTATGCGAAATGTGCAAAGTCGACCTACCCATCTCACGGTACAGGTAGGATAAAACAGCAGCTCCCCAGGCGAACCCTCCAGCCCTCTCCCAATCCTCAATCAGAAGTAGGTACTGTAGGTGCACCGTAGATCCAGACCGATCCGGGAAAAGTACACCTCCAATCAGAGATAGAGCATAAGCTCGTGCAAACTGCTCTATAACCTCCTGTGATGCATCATCCGGCAGATGGCTGAATTCAACCCTCAGCCATGTAATCCTAACAACAGCGACCCCGCCTACAAGATCATAAGGAACCCGTCCTAACAGTCGCAAACAGATCGCCGACCACTCCTCATCCGGTATATCAACTACGACGGCATCACCGTCGATCGCCAAACCGGACAGTGTAACAACGTCCTCTAATGTGATCGTGACCTCACCACACGGTAGATGGAAGGTCGACGTCTCGGGTCGCCACCTCTCTACGAGTGCAGTAATCAAACTCGCATCGGGGTTCATAGGGACTAGGGGCACGACACTTAACAAGCCTGCCGCTTCGAGATATGGCCGATAAAGCTCACGGTAAGGTACTAAAATGGTCGTACCTCGAACATGGAAAGATCGATCACCAGCCTATAGTGCACAAAACTTATATTAATTTATCTTCATTCGTAATAATTCTAATTTCACCTAATTAATTCTAATTTATCTAATCTAATATCAAATTATACTAATTTCAGAAAATCTAATACGTAATCCTATTCTCTAACAGTACAGTTCAGTTCACCAACTAAAATAATCTAATTAGCTAATTAACTTTACATGAATAATTATTAAATACTTACCTCGTTTGTCCAAACAGAGTCCATACGATGTTGGCCATGTCCCCAAAGAAGTGTCGAATCGACCGGACTTGGATCAATTGTCGCCGGCGGTAATCTCATCGAATAAGGATCCATAAGCCTAGGAACTGCAAAAACAAACAACAAAACATCAATAAAAAAACACAAACCATTAAAAAAAAATTCAAGCCGCCGACGAGAGTCTCACCGCGCAAACGGCTGCCACGACCTCGCCGGCCTCTCCCCCTGCCTCTGCCGGCGGCTTCTTCGTCGGAAGACATCAGCGGCGGCGCTTCAGACTGCAGCGGCGGCTCCCCTCTCTGCGGCGGCGGCGCTCAATCCCCAGCGGCGGCGCTCCCAGCTGCGGCGATGGCGCTCAACTCCCCAGCGGCGGCGCTCCCTTCTGCGGCGGCGGCGCTCCACTCACAGGCGCCGGCACCTCAGTTGCGGCGCTAGGGACTCGGGCGCCAGCGCCCGGAACTTTAGAATCTGCGGCGGCGCCTGAGTCTCCGGTGTGGCCGCCAAAGCCTTTTCCAAAAACACAATATCTGTGTCATTTGTTTTTAATCCGCCATATTGGTGGTAAATTAAAAAAAAAACAATATTTATGTCATTAATCCAAAACATCATAGCTTCCATTATTTTGCTATCCCATCGAATTGTCTCGGCGGAAAGTAAACAACTTTCTTACGGAGAAGCAGCGAGAACTATGGGTGTCAAAATAGAACCCGACCGCAACCCGAATTGACTAAAAGTCAACGACCCGCAACCCGATCGACCCGCAAACCAACTAACTCGTAACCCGACTGACCCCCAATCCGATTGACCCGCAACCCGATTAAACCCGAACCTGATTAACCCGTAACCCGACCGACTCAACCCGAACTTCACCTAATCCACTTGAATAATTATTATATCATACAATACATAGTTTTTCAAATTAAAGTTTTCATTCTAAACTTAGGTAAAATTTATTTTTCATTTCGTATAGGGTATTTAAGAAAATATGAAACTCCAGTGATATTATGTATTTCAAGAAAATTACAAAAATTGAAACATGAACTTCACTTGAGCACTAAGTTCTTTAACAAAATTAAAAAAGTAAATATGAAATATAAAATCAACACAATTTCAATATTAATAAGGAAGAATTAATAATTGAGATCATAGACAATATTAATATAATATATAAATTAAAATTTGGGTTAATTTAACTATTCAATAAAATTATTAATTACATATAAATAAAGTAAAGTAATGTATTTAGTAATTTGATGCTTTTAAAAGAAGAGGGAATTTTTAGTGTATTCAACTTTTTGGGAAGAGAAAGAAGAGGGAAATTTGGTTATTTGAATTTTTGAGAAAAGAAACAAGAGGGAATTTTGGTGGTTTTGATTTATGGGAAGAGAAAGAAGTGAGAAAGTTTGGTTTTTTTGATCATGAAAGAGAAATAAAGAGGGAAATTTTGAGTTTTCAACTTTTTGTGAAGGAAGGAAGAAAAAGGGAAATTTGGTTATTCAATTTTATGGAAGAGAAAGAGGAGGGAATAAATAGACAAATGATTACACATCCAACGTTCTAAATCAATACACATATATGAATGTTAAACAATAATTTCCAACTATAAAACACCCAAATTGGTTAGTAACAGGAAAAGTGATGATCAAGCTCTAACGTTACTGCGAATGAATTATGGGAAAAACAAAACTTACGGGTCGTTTGCTTCATGGATTTGAAAAATGAGGGTTTTGGTAAAACCTGGGTTTTGCAAAACCATGGATATATGATGGATTTGGTGGCATTATGGATTTGAACAAGTCTATTGTTTGCTTGATGGATTTGATTATGGACTTTGTTTGATTAGATTTGTGGATATTAAATACAAATTACCTAGTTACCCTTATTTAATTATATTTCTATATTCTAATCCAAATCTTTCATTTAAAACTAATCCAAAACATAGAAAGAAATTTTAAACTCTTTACCACTAAGTGGATTAATAATTCAACTACAAGTATAGAAATGTATTACAATTTGGCACTAATTAACAATTCATCTAATAATGTACGCAATATTATCTATCGATTGCAGCCAATTGCTCGCTTTATTGCTACAACTCATCATCTTCTTGCTAATTCACCGATGTGGAATCCGACAATCAATCAAATAATAATGCACAAGATGAGCATAAAGTGTTTCTAGGTGAATCTAACAAATCACATATACATTCATATTTAAATAAAATACGATATTACAAATGAAATGATAAATTCTCATATTTATAAAAATACGAAATTATAAAAGTTTACAGTTGCATGACCATTGAATTAAAGTAGGACAAATTTGTAATTAAGGGTAGAAAGGTAATTTACCATCATGGATTTTAATCCATCACCCAAATCCCACCTCAAGAGGTGGAACTTCCAAGTCCGTGGGGTCCACGGATTTGGAACCCCAAAAGAGGTGGGCCCCACAAATTCCATCTCCCTAATTCCCTAAGGCAAACGATGGATTTCGGTTCAAGTCCATGATGGATATATTTCCATGACCAAATCCATCACCAAAACCCTCAAGCAAACGACCCCCGCGCAATGAAAAGTGAAAACAGCTACCACATCGAAAGGAATGAAAAATCTCAAACTTCCTTCATGTATATAATACAAAGTGGTGTTCCTCTTTTCAATTTGTAACCGTTAAAGCCCAACAAGCAGCATTAAAATAAACTGCGAGATTTGGTCTTTTGAGTTTTGGGTTGTAAAGCCCATTGTAAAATTTTTATGTTAAAATTTTTGGTTGCGGAATGATAAAACCGGATGACCGGTCAGAACGGTTTGTGCGGTTTTTACTTCCTTCCGCTATCTGGCCGGCCATTTTAATCGTGGCAGTTATATAGCTAGTCCGAGCCGATCTTGTGGCCGGGTCATAGTTTTACCGGTCCGACTATACGGCCGGTCCGACTATACGGCTCGGCTATGATAACAGTGGTTTAGAGTATACGATCAACAACATATACTAACTTAATATTGTCGATTGAGGGTAAGGCTAAGTGTATATGATATATGCTATTGATAGTTATGATTGAAATCACAACAATTTTACTAAATTTGATAGTTAATTTTTAATGGTTCAATTTTTAGGATAATTCGAACAATTTTACAAATAACTTTTTTGGTAACAGTTTACTGAAGTTATTTAGGCAATGAGTTATTTCGAAATTACTCCTTTTATCACTCTGCTTTTGCCAAACATCACACACCAAATACCAGATTTGCATGGTTATACTAAACGAGATACTTTAATCCAATTACTACTAAAATAATATTAAAATATCAAATAAACAATTAATGGTGTCTTTTCGTTGCGAATGTTGATATCATCATTACTATTAGCTAGTGTACTTTACCAATTATGATTAATAACATAACAAGTTTGCAAGTCATACAAATCAATTCAACATTTTGACTAGTTTTTTTTAATTAAGTATATATATACGAGGTAGAAAGAATTTTTTTAAAAAGTTGAGAAAAATATTTTAAATTAGTGTAATAAAATGTGTAAGTTGGTAACAAGTAATGAGTAAGTTACTCGATACGCTGACCCGAACAACCCGCAACCCGATCCGTTTGCAACCCGCCCGACCCAAAACCCGATGAACCCGCACCCCGATTGAACCCGAACCCGATGAACCCGCAACCCGACTAACCCACAATCCGTTTGAACCCGAACCCGATTAACCCGAACCCGATGAACTCGCAACCCGACTAACCCACAACCCGTTTGAACCCGAACCCGATTGAACCCAGCCCGAACCCGCCCGATTGACACCTATAGCGAGAACCATAATGTACACAGAAGCTTCTCTCTTCTTTGATACAAAAGCCATCATCGCACTAAGTAAAACAAACAAGGCAAAAAAAGAAAAGGCCAACAATGCTTCTTAATTCAGAATAACAAAAGTGTCTAAGCACTGAAGTTGTCGAGAATCGTCAAGGAAGCTTCGGAGCACTGGAAAGCAGGAAGCTTCACTCCGGCCCTCAAGCTCTGGACAAACTCAGTAACCCCAGCAGCAGTTGTCGCCCATTTGTCACCTTCCTGCATTTTCCTGGATTCATCAACGTTTTCTGCAGCACTTGGCACATAGCGACTTGACCAAATGGACTGACCATTCTCTTTCAGCTTCGCTACCTCACTGGTCCCAGACATGACCACGGCCCTTTCACTTAGCAAAAATATCTCTTACTCTTTAAACCTTGCAGATACTGAATCACAGCCAGAGAACACAAACCACACAGTGTGAGAAATATCTCTTTAACTGTTTGAAGAAAATATTTGGGAAAAGAGTGTTGTTGATGGTGATGCTTTCAGGATGCGATACTAGACGGATCCTTTATACCTAAAGAACCGACACTAAAATGATTAGGAAATATGGTTTGTAGAACTAGTGGTAAAGCAATACAGTCACAGAGGGGCAAGCTGCTGCTGGGAATTTTTTTTTTTGTCAGACTGCTGGGAGTTTTAGTTTGTCTAACAGGAATATTGTGGGCGCCACAGAAAACTCAGGCACACAATAGTATTAGGAGCTGCTGGTATTTATGAGTATAGACTCTGGACACTAGTTATAAAATGGGTTTGTGCATTACTTTATTGGTTAAAGACACATCTGGTCAATGATATTACAAAATCTGGACATGTTTAGTCACTATAAAAAGTTAATATCAAATTTGGTCACTACAATTACTAAAACTGGACACATTTAGTCACTCGCCGTTAGTTGTCGTCCAACTCCGTTAAAAGAGTCAGTTATGTGCTGACGTGGCTAATGTGAGCGCCTAGTCAGCGCCGTTTTGGGCAGGAAATGGTCAAACCCGACCCGCCACGTATTAAACCCAACCCGACCAAAAAATAAACCCTAACCCACCTAACCATACCAGATCCCACTTAAAAAAAAAAAAACTGATTTGTTTCCATTTCAGACCCAAAAACCCTTCTCCTTCCTCGAGAGCTCTTCTCCTTCGTGTGCCTCACTACCCTCCCGGAGGACATCCTCCGCCACATCCTGATCGCCGCCGATCTGGACCTAAAAACCACCACCCAGACCTCCGTTTTGTCCCGCCGCTTGCGCCACCTCTGGCGATCCGCCCTCCGCGAAATCAGCCTCGAAACCCCGCGCCGCCACGACGCCACCGGGAGAAACCGCCACCTATTCACCGATTTCGTTGACAACCTTCTGGCGGCTCGCGAGCCCCGATCGGAGCTCGCACTCATCTCCATCACTGTCAACGACGCCTTCAACCCGAAGTACGCGGACCTCTTGGGCCGGATCTACGAGTACGGGTCGGCCCACGGGGCCCGCGCCTTCCGGCAAACTATCCGGGCCCGGCTCCGGACGATCGTCGAATCGTTTCCCCACGGTTTCATCCACCTCTGCCGGTCCCTCCAAGATCTCGACCTCTCCCTCCTCAGCTTCGATTTCGACGAGCTCTGCCACCGGTCCTCCAACTTCGTGTGCCTCATTGCCCTCCGCCTCTACAGCAAGGGGGTAGCGTTGATGGCTCCATCTCTCCCTGCTCTTTGCTCTAGGATTAGTTTGATCGAAAATAGCGAAGGGGAAGAGCTCTCGAGGAAGGAGAAGGGTTTTTGGGTCTGAAATGGAAACAAATCAGTTTTGTTTTTTTTTTTTTTTTAAGTGGGATCTGTTATGGTTAGGTGGGTTAGGGATTAAGTGGGATCTGTTATGGTTAGGTGGGTTAAGTGGCAAATCCCATGCACGAATAAGCTTTCTTCAAGCCTGCCTAGCTCCGCCGGAAAAAAAAGATTCTAGTGGACCAACACGAGAACCCGTTGCACGACTGGACCGAACTTGAGTGCTCTCCCTCCCGAAACCTTCCCTTACGCAAAACAGAGATGATCGAATTGGCTCAGGGCTCAGAATGCTGCGTACTAGCCCTCTTGCTTAAAGATCAGCAGTTTCCACAGCTGAGCAGCCGTTCGAGAGGCCACCGTTCCAAAATTATTAGTTTTTGTGAGGGAACGCTCGCGAAAATACAACCCTTCATGCAAAAAAGGGGCCAGCTTTTAGAGGGAAGAGGTCCATCCCAAGAGATGGAATCCTTGCCCGGACCGAGAGCACGGCTACAAGAGCACTGCAACATTTAAATCCAAGGAGTCCAGCCCTCGTACATGTTGCAGAGATTATCTACGCTCATGGCTTGTTTAATAAGGATATCAACTTGCTCCCGCACATTAATTTCCCTGAAAAACGCAAGAGAAAATGGAGGAGAAAAGAGGAAACATTTCCATTAGATAACCACCACGAACTCCGGATTTTACAGCCAAGAGGAGTGGGAAAGAGGAAAGGAGTCCACAATGAAACCAAGTAGTAGCACCTGTTCTCAGCAACATCTCGACCATCTATTTGCATCCCCAACCGCCTTAGTACTGATACAGCATAAGGGTTCTTGCCTACATAACCAGAGACATTATCAGAAACTTGATTACAGATTTTAAGGATTTTTGTGAGTTTTGATTAAGCAGTCCAATCTCCATGATGAACCATTTGTTTTGTTTTGTTTTGTTTGTTTTGAATAATCATTGATAGTCTTGAATTCTCATCCTACATCAATTAAGTTTCCTGGTAGCAAAATACTGACTGGTGCTCCATCAGTTCAAGCAGCATACTGAACCATTTGTTATAGACTTGTAGTACTTGAAAGACCTCAAAGAGATAGCTCAATGAGGAGAGCTTTCAGGTTACCTCTGGCTACTCGTGTCCCAGTATGTGTATGTGGATTGGGATGAGTTCCATGGCTATCGTCTTCAATATTATTCCTGCTCGAGAGGAGATGTAAGTGCTTCACTCAATGACAATATTGTAGATTGACCTTCGCCCTGACACATTGCCTCATGTTTTGCCAGCGATTCCAAAGAGTCGGGGGCTGCCTGATAATCAGTTTGAGAAGATGTAGCAGAATTAAAATGACTTCTCGCCATCTTACCGTCAGAGTCATGGGCAGAATCTACTAAATTGTCACAGCTGTCTGGAATGCTAGCTTCAACAGATACAACATCATCAGATATCGAGCTACTACTGCAGATGCTATCTGGTGGAGATACCCATCCATTGTCTTGCATGCTACATTCAACTTCACCAAGGAAATCATAAGCAATTTCAGTTTCTGGGTCTGATAGATGCTCTGTTCCTTTCTCGTCAAATTGATCAGCATCACTGTCAACTTCAGGCCTGTTCAAATTGATCTCCAGTGCTGTCACCTCCTGGCTTTCTGCCAATCCTTCGAGAGCCTAAGAAAGACAAATTATCTAAATCAAATGGCAAATATCAACCCAACCCAAGACAACCCACTCAGGTTGGTGGGTAAATTGGTTGGCTTGGTACCTGGTAGGTTTCTGAAAATTTATGATTTAGTTTCTACACATTTTGCGTATTACATTTTTGTACCTAAACTTACATGTCCTACAAACTTACATGTCTTACAAACTAGAGTGAAGTCAGTTAAGCTAAGCATGAACTTTACCTTGTGAAGATTTCCAGCATGAAGACTGGCAGTACGAGCGAGACTAGTCAGCATTGAGCGCAGACCCTTCACAGATGTTGTGAGTGATGGTACTATGGGTTTAAATGCCTGAATAGACTCCCTAATCCTTGAATAATACGATTGATATAACGCTTGTCCATGAATTGGAGACACATCCATATTGGCTTCTTTCTCCCTGGCTATAGCAACAGTCATTCCAGCAACGTCCTTTGACAGCATTGATTCAAGGGGAAGAAGAATTGCATTTGCCTGGACGAAGTAGAGAAGATAAGTACCAGACAACCAGGAATTCTCATACTAGTGCATAAGAGGGAGGGAGAAATCTTTCTACAGTTAAAACTGAAAAAGCTAAAAAAAACCGATAAAGACCTTTGAAAGTTCTTCCATTATGGAGTGATGCAAGGCAGAAGCCTCCTTTCCTAATGTATGAACATCATGCAGGTCTTCAGTTATTGCAAGAACCTGGAGATCAGAGCACCATCAGTTGCAACCACCACATTGAAATAACCATATCGCCATCTTAAAATATCTGGCTGTATTGCGAGTAATTCCATCCTACCTTGACTCAAACAGCAGGACATGCCCCTCAGTTCTGTACTCTTCACAACAAGTAAATGAACTCGATAACAAAAAACAGGATAGAAAAGAACATGTCGAACAATTAAGAGTGGTATCTAGCAAAGTGAAATGGGCAAGTTAGCAGGAGGAAGGATGTCCCCACACTGGAACAGGGTGTGCCTGTAAGTAAAGGAACATAAAAGCGGGTGACTCCCCTGATAGCATTATCAGTTATCTGGACATTCTAACAGGGAAAGAACATCTAACTTCCTAAGCCAGTACAGTTCAACAACTGAAATCAGAGGTTTGCTGTTCAAGAATAAGAATAAAAAAAAAACAAAGATTTTCTGAGTAGCAAACACAAACTCTACTCTTATTCATCTTTCCTCCCGTCAGTGCCAAATTTTTCTCCTACTAGGCATTTACTGCAAAGGCACATGTTTATGCATATACTGCTCCGGCCAGAGTGTAACATGACTTAGTATATTTTCAACCATGATCATTCCAATTAGTAAAGTATGCGGACCTGGAGCTGATTTTGCTTTAAGTGATGCACTGAACAGTTCATTAGTTGCCAAAAGTAACTCATTTGAAGCAGCTTCCATTCTGCCTTGCCTCAACTTCCACTCCTGCTCAGCACCTGCCATAAGCAGTAATAATTGGTAATTAGCAGGCCATATGAGTGGCGAACATTTGTACAGATGAGTTGACCCCCAAGGTTAGGGAACAGAACTAGTCTGATGTTGCTCCATTCACTGTAAACTAGAATCAATACCCGCGGCTACGCCGCAAAATCACGCCTCTTTTTCTTCTCCTCCACCAACATCATCTAGTTCTCTCACACTAACCATCATTGAATATAATCAATTCACATCAATGTATTAATCATCATCGATTCACCACCTCTTAACATTAACCATGATAAATTGAAACATTAACTTTGAAAAATTATCATTGTAAGTGTTATGTGCTTTTGTGTTATTCATGATTTTCCTTACTAAAATTATTTCGTCTTCATTTTTATATGGACCTTAAAATCCTACGATTTTATGATTCCGATTTTACGTAAAATCCCGATTTTGACTGCTTTGGTAATAACCAATTAACAAAATGTCTTAACCAATTAAGCCTAAATTTCATTAACCATGGAATAAAATGTCTTAACCAAACCGTCCAAATTAACACGAAAACCAAATTAACAAAAACAAAGTTTAATTGCTTTGGTTAATCGGATAATCGGATTAACCAAATAACATAGCATTACATGAAAACAATTGTCCTGTTAATGAATAAAACACAACCATATGTTGTTACTATCATAAACTATCATTATAATAATAATAAGACTAATCATCCATGATTATCATCATCATTCGAGTTAATACCTCATTCATCATCTCTGCACCTAATATAGTTCACTTATAACAAACTCTTTAACATAAATACATGCTAATACCACTCATCGGGAAGTTAAAGCTCTCCTACAAAACATTTAAACTATACATAGTTTGAGGTGCCTGTCATGGTATTGTAAGTAATCCGAAAGTCTACTAGTTGTCCAAAATGTTTTGGTTTAGTAAATAGGCAGGCCCATTTAATTTTTAACCCATAATGTTTGGTTTGTTGTGCACATGGAAATAAAATAGCGAATCACGAATGCTTGGTTTGGTTGGTTGCATGGAAGTATAAATAATTTTGTATATTAGATGTACCGTTAATTAGTTAATTGGTTTCATTGTTTAGCAGTGTTGAATCCAACCAAACCACCTAAACCAAATAAGCTAAATTGTTTAACCAAACCAAACCAATTATCCAAATTAACCGAATGCTACCGGTTAATATGGTTACCACGGTAACCAATTCGTTTGAACACCCCTACATCTTGGGGTGATCTCGTAGTTCATATAGGGTGGAGACGAGGGGGTCGGTAACAATGGGTATCTATAGAACATTGGTTAAATTTTAGGGCAATGTCTATTTTTTATCCAAACCTTTTTCAGATTCTTTTATATTATCCAAACCTATTAAAATGTTATTAATTAGCCAAATTTTTCGCAATGCATCAAATATTAGTCATTTTTACGTTATCGTTAATAATTTTGTAATTCTTTTCTTAGTTAAAATACTAAAATTTTGGAATGTTGACCTTCATGTGTCTCTTCCAAGTCAGTATCATCTTGCCAAGTTAATATTACTAACATAATTGTTAACTGAAAGTTAACATTTAGCTAATTCTTAGTATTTCGATAAATTTGGCTAATAAAAAAGAATACAAAAATGGGTTGGTTAATAAATAGTCATTACCCTAAAACTTATTTGTTCTTGTTCATCTCTATCACAACAAAGATGGACTTTACCTAAACACTATTATATACTTTATAAAAGAAAAAGTGGGTGGTTTGGAAGTTGTGATTTTAGATGGTGGATTCGGACAATACATGTAATCAGGAGAATTTTTTGATTTTTTGACTTAAAATGAAACAGAATACATATATTTGATCAAAAGATGGGTTCACCAAAATCATTTATTATGAATGATTATCAATCTCGACTTTTAGCTGAAGTTCTTCGATTTCAGAGAGGAGATTGGAAGACAGACGTGGAAGAAAAAAGAGATTAAGAAATGTACGATAAACTCCCTCCGCAATCTATGGCTTGTTCAGGAAAGGCTTACGTGACAAGTTGTTTATTTTGACATTGCCTTATAGTATTTTGTAGAAGATACTCCAATTGATTTATGTTCGATAATCGCTTGTACCTGATTATACCAGCCCTCCTATATGACAACCATGCACATATAACTAAAAATGTGACGTTATTGTGCATGCACCAAACACTACAATTACAAATAAATGACTAATAATGGAAGAAGAATTTTTAAAAATGAGTTAGTAAACTATCTCGCATGCATGGAACAATTAATGGTTTCAAAAAGGTGGAAGGAAAAATAAATGAGAAACACTAATTAGGGTCAGTGGCGGAGGCAGGATTTGAAACTACCCCTCTCCTCTTTTCGTATTATAAATATATAAATATTTAATAAATATAATTAAATTAATAATATCTAAATAATTTATTTTCATATATAAAAAATAACTACTATTACCATCGGTATTTTCATAAACAACCATGACGAGTCTTCATATTCGAAAGAAACACACAATACATTCTTTGTCTACACACTTAAGTAAGTCTTTTTCAATGAATCTCACTAAACAACCATTAGCAAACTGATCGTGAGTTCGACTTCAAAGTTCGTTCTTCAGATAGCTCAAAGTTGAAAATATTCTATCGACACTTGCCATCAAAATTAGTGGAATCGGCGCTGCCACTGGACTACTTAAAGATTGCTTGCAAAAAATCGAATAGGCATATAAAGAAAAGAGATCTATTCCAATTGAGATTTCGTTTATTGTATAATAATTAAATCATTGTCAATTTATGATAAATAATGAGTTGTAATATAGTAACGAAGTACAAAGGTGTTATGTTCCATCCTTCGTATAAACATATATGAAATATTTTTGTTCATCCCAAAATTTACCCCTGTCCCGGGACAATGCCCAATAGGGCTGCCTCCGCCACTGATTAGGGTGGGGACGCCCAATTTTAACCCTTTGGCGCTAGGGATGGTAATTTTGACCTGATCCGATTTACCCGACCTGTTTGACCTGTTTTGGACAGGTCCGACCCGCTCCGTAGGTGGGGCGGGGCGGGTATGAGTACCTCTTATCGACCCGACCTGTCCCGACCCGCCCCATTCTTGACCCGTTCCTGTCTAAATTACATGTAATCTTAGTCAAATTATTTAGGATTTTCCTCTTATTACATCATATTTTAGCTATAATAAAGTTGCAAATAAGTAAAAACCTCAATTTCTCCAATAACTTAACTACATTTTATTATATAATGGTTTCTTTCTTGGTCTTTTAATGAAAATAATGAATATTTCTAATGTTTTTCACATAAATTACATACACATTGGATTGACCTGCCCGACCCGCGCCCCATGATAAACTACCCGACCTGAACCCGACCTGCCACGGGACGGGTATGGGTATTGAGATACCCGCCCCGGACCTGCCCCATTGTCATTCTTATTTGGCGCCTCAATCTTTGTTTTCCTCATCCTTATTTAGTTTATTTTTGTCAGCAAATTGAATTGGGGCGCACACGCCCCCAATTAACATAAAGACACCATAATTTTGGTAATATTATTTGGATAATGCTATATTATATTGAGTATTTGTTTTTCTCTAAAACACAATATTGTAGTCTTCATTATATCAATCCCCAATTAACATAAAGACACCACAGTTTTGGTAATATTATTTGGATAATGCTATATTGAGTATTTTTTTTTCTCTAAAACACAATATTGTTGTCTTCATTATATCAATCTTAATAAGCTTCTGAGCTATAAGGATATCATTCATTATTCTCCTACCATTAACAAAAGCATACTGGTTCCCACTTATAACTGAAGTGAGTACCTCTCTAATTCTCTTAGCAAATATCTTTGCCAACAATTTTACAGAACAAGTTCACACAAAAAATTGGACGGAATTTTTCCTAGATTTTTCACCGTTTGGTAATTTAGGACAAAGTAACACGGTTGTAGCATTAACACCATGATATATGCGTAACTATACATATTTTATACCTTATAGCTTATCTCTCTATTTCCCTCCTTTGAAGACTGCTTAATTTCGAAGCAGATTGCCCACTTTGATGAGGAGGAGGATGAGACACTACGTTATGCGTGGGAGCGGTATACTGACCTTTTTTTTGGAGTGCCCAAATCACGAGTTTGATTATTAATTCAAGGA